TCAAAGGAACATCTACCTGTTTCACTTCGATGCCAACTGTTTTTAAAACTCACATCACAGGCCCAGACTTAAGGATAAATTCAAAGGCAATAGTAGGTTCCAATGTGGGGGCTCTTGTCTATACCCTTGTTCCAAAAGAGCATGTAGATAGAGTCGGGTATTTATGGGAACAGGTTCTGGCACATGGGAGTATTGGAAGTGAATAAGATTTGGGGTAAGGGAAGTGCCGAGGGTTGGGACTTTGGGAGGCAGGAGGGGATTAGGAACCAGATGGTAACAGAGCCTATTTTCAGATACTGCATATATGTCTGTGTAAAATCAGAGATACCAAGATAATCCTTTTGTTCTCATGGGAATAGACTAATAGCAACTCCAACTTTGACATTCTCTCATATTAAATACAAATAATTGATTAAAAAATAAGAGGGAATAAAAACAAAGAGTTCAAATTATGTGAAGAAATAGAATTACAAGGGACTTTTCAGTACAGATTTTAGGCTGGCAGAATAAGAAATCAATAAACACATTCACTTATCAAATTAAGGCCTAACTTTTGGGTTTTACTCATAACAAATAACAGATAATAGGGAATACTCAACAATATAGATTATAGTAGCTGAAATATGAAGAACTTCCCAAAGGGACAATTCTGTGATAAAAACAGTAAGGAGAAAGAAAAAAATGAAGAGATAATTTGACAATAATGCCTCAGTTTTATTAATTAACCGAAGCTTCAAGAACTTAAACCATTGAATTGACATTTACACAACACAATTTAAAAAAAAAAACTGTTTCTGGCCATTAAAAATTAAGATTCAGACTCTGAGATTGAATGAAAAAAAGGAAAATGATGAGTTCCACCCACACAAAAAAATGTTCTAATGTTTAATGATAATGATATCTCTCTACTCACCCAACTTTATGAGATTCATTTAGAAATAGAGATTTAATCAGAATGACTTAGTATTGCAAAGGAAGTTGACCTGCTCTGACCAAGGGGAAGAAAGCATGATATATTTGCAGAATGGCAAGTAATGTGATGAAGGTGAACCTGGGGAGAAAAGGTGGTAAATACTGGTAGACAGGGGACAGATGACATCACTTGAATAACACGCTGAGGCGTTGGCATTTCGGTCCATACGTGATGGGATACCTTGGAAACATAATAAATAAAACCATGATTAGAATTTTGGTTAGGTCCTCGTAGCTGGAATGTGGAGGATGGTAATAAAGCAGCTGTAATTACTAAAAGTGGGTTACCCAGGTTAGGTTACCACAATTTTCCAGAGGAGAAAAGATACATACTTCAACCAGAATTGTGGAAGACAAAGACAGGGAGGAAAAATTTAAACTGTATGTGAAAGATAAAATCAAAAGGATTTGGAGATTGTTTAAATTGGCAAGTGACTCCAGAGCTCTGGTTTGGACCCTTAGCTGGATAGAGATGCTACTAATAGAAATAGAGGAAAAGGGTGAATTTAGATCAGATCCTAGTTGCTTTGAATATATGGAGAAACATTTTGTAGGAAGTTGGAAATATGAGACTAGGAACTCAGTGAGATTTCTAAGGTGAAGTTCAGCTTTGGAAGTTGTTTATAGGATTGTAGGACACTTTATATATGCAAATGGCACGTCCCATTGAGAAGCCCAGGTCCAGCCATCCAAATGTCCACAAGAAACCGGGCATGAAACTTTACAAAGTAGTGGTCAGATGATATCTTAGAGATCCCAAGACCCCTGTAAAGCTCCTCAAAAACACCCTCAGAGTTAAAAAACCAAGTCACAGAATTAAACAAACAAAACCCATTCAAGTTTGTAAACTAAATTGTTAAGTTCAGTTCATTATCTTTCTAATTGTGATTTCTGTAGAAGATAAAAATAGAAGAGACCCTAGGGAAGAATATCATCTAAGACCAAAATATAAGGCCATGGAAGGGAGTACACTAGAGCCCAAAGAGAACTAGGAGTGAACCAAATTTTGGAAACTAAAGACGAGACAGACAGTGGTATAACAAACAAAAATATCCCACAGTTGTTTTAACCATAATAACTGTTCATTACATTAACGTTAATCACTTGTTTCTAATCCCTACAGTTAACACTTACACATAGTTTCTAATACTACCAAGCCACATTTGTACTATTTTGACTAAAAAATTAACTATTCCTATGATATCATACATACAACCCATTTTTATGTTCATTTAGCATAGATTTGGGTATCTGCCCTTGATACTGCATATAAACAAGACAAACAAGACCCCTATAGTAATGGAACTAAAGAAGATAAATGAGGGATACCTGGGTGGCTCAGCTGGTTAAGTGTCTGACTTCAGCTCAGGTCATGATCCCAGAGTCTTGGGATCGAGTCCCTCATGGGGCCTCTTGTTCAGCAGGGAGCCTGCTTCTCCCTCTGCCTGGCACTCTCCCTGCTTGTGCCCTCTCTCTCTGACGAACAAATAAATAAAATCTTAAAAAAATGAAGATGATAAATGATACATAAGTTTTTAAAAAGGGAAGGAGAATTTTAAGAAATACTTTTTAAGAAATCAGCAGGATGATAGGAAGAGAGGTGGGGTGTATAGTGGGCACTATTTTAGATAAGAAATAAATGTTTTTTTCTAAGAATGAGACTTTTAGGTTAAAACCAGCAGGAAAAGGTGGAGCCAAACATTTTTAAAGTCAGAAGACAAGTGCTCCAAGCAGAGGAAATAGAAGAAGCAGTCCTGAGAAGGGGAAAGGGTCAACTGATTTGAGAGGATGGTATAGTTAGACCTCATTGATCAAAAAGGAAGGTGATTAAGGATGGTGTTGGAAGGACAGACAGAGCCAGGTCATGTAGACTTCTTTGGCCTTGTTAAGTTGTTAGGATTTTATGTAAATGTAAAAAAAAGACATTAAGAAGATGAGAAGAACTGAAAGAGGGAAGAGGTTTATAAGACATTAAAAAAGTCTAAAGCCGTGCTACCCCATCGAAAAAGAACATGAGCCATATACGTAATTTTAAAATTTCTAGTAGCCACACTCAAAAAATAAACAGAAAACAAAATACACAGAAAGATTAAAATGAAATTAATTTTAATAATAAATTTCATTAGCCCAATATGTCAAAAATATTTAGCCTTTTGACATTCTTTTTAGCAGATCAAGTCTTCGAAATGTGGTGTGCACTTTACACTTACAACACACGTCAACTCAGACTACATTTGAAATGTCTAATTCCTATCTGTGGCTAGTGGTTGCTGCAGTGGACAGTGTAGGTCTCAAAGTCTCAGCAGAATTCATAGAAAATGCTTTCTTCACTCTCCCTACCCAAGGATTCATGGTTCTAGAGACTGAGCAAGTGTTTAAAAAAAAAAAAAAATGTATTACCCTCAAAGGAACGCTAGGTTTCAGGCCAAGAAGATACAGAAAGTGGTGGAGAATGTATAGGGGTCTGTGCACACTGGAAGGCAGATTCCGGGAGACACAGTCAAAAGACTTTCCCCTCCCCCTCATCTCAGCTGATGACTTCAGTTTTCCCTCTCTTCGGGATTGTCCCTACCAACATATAAACGTGTAAATATTTCTCCTGTGTAAACAAAACAAAACAAAAATCTCTTGACCCTTTCTGCCTCTATTATGACTCCATTTCTTTCCTGCCCTTAAGAACAAAACTCCGAAGAACTGTTTGTACTGACTATTCCCGTTTATTTCCTCTTATTATCTCTCAGATCCACTCCAGTTAGTCTGGCCTCCACCTTTCCCCTAAAACTCCTCTTGTCAATGACAACAGGGACCTTCATATGACAAAATCTAATGACCGATGCTCAGTGCTCATCTTCAGGGACCATCCAGGAGGCTTTTCCCATAACTCTGCATTTTCTTTCTTAGATTCCAGAACATTTCAGGTCCTTTTGTGGCTATGCTTTTTGTCTCCTACACTAAGTCATATTCATTTCCCTGACCTCCAAACACTTTTACTTGTCTCCTCCATCTATACCTACCTCCAAGGTAAGCTCCATGAGGTTCAGGGACATACACATATTCTCTTCACTACTCTAGTCCCAATATGTGAAACAGTACCTGACACACGGTGGTGTTTAACAAATAATTTGTTCAATAAAGTATACCATATGTAAAACAACTGACCCCGAAAGCCTCAACAAATGTTCCTTCCGCTCCCTGTGAAAATGTTGCCTTTAGTTAGTCATCAAAGCCAAGCATTTATTCTTGTAAACTGGGAGTCAGTATAAACCAAGGGAATTTGAGTGGATGACCTTCTATTCATTTATTCATTTCTACCATGTGCCAGACACAATGCCCTTGCGCTGAGTGTTCAGTGATTTGTTTGTTCAAGAAAAAAGGTCCTACATGGTACCTGCCTCATGGAGATGGCACTCAAGTTAGGATTAGAACATCTTAGTTGTCAGGAACTAATGACAGCAATTTTTTTTTAAGATTTTATTTATTTTGAGAGAGGGAGAGCAAGCACTCACAAGCAGGGGGAGCTGCAGGCAGAGGGAGAGGGAGAAGCAGACTCCCTGGAGTCCCATGCGGGTTTGAATCCCAGGACCCCCATATCATGACCTGAGCCAAAGGCAGACGCTTAACCAACTCAGCCATCCGGGCGTCCCTGATTATGGCAATTTTTTTTTAATTTTATTTTTTATAAACATATATTTTTATCCCCAGGGGTACAGGTCTGTGAATCGCCAGGTTTACACACTTAACAGCACTCACCCTGATTATGGCAAATTTTAAGCTTGTATAACCCGATGGCAGTTTTCAGAGTAAGTTAGTGTGAATGTGGGAGGTACACAGAACACAGATTATCTCATTGTGCAGGGAACCAATCTAAAGAACAGGGAAGAGAAATATTTTGCCCAGGCATTCACGTATCTAATAAAAAGGAGAGTTAAGGACCCAAACCCCAGGTTTGCTGACCAGTCCTCTTCCCTCTATACCGTGTAGAAATTAAAGGTAGAAAGGATGTTTGCGGATGCTAGCCTAGCAGAAAAATGGAGAGGAGGACATTTGTTTGTTTGCTGGAGCGGTGTCTGCCCAGGCAGCCAGGGAAATCAGGAGCAGCCCGGATCGCGGCCGGAGTGCCCTGCCAGCACAGGCGGAAAAGGCTGGTCCGTGTCGGCTCCTTCTCGGCTCCCCAACTCCTGCCCAGCCAGTGTTCTGGGAGCCAGCACTCCGCAGACCTTGGAGGCCCCCAGCGCGCCACTCCTCGCGCTGCGCCGCCACGCCGCGCTCCCGACCACAACCGCGGCGTTGGAACCGCGCGAGGGGGGATGAGGGGCGCCGCTCAAGGAGGGGCGCCCGCTGGGCAAGCGCCGCCGCCGGGACTCCGGGAGGAGACGAAAGGTAGGGCACTGAGGGCGCCACCTGGCGGATCACGTCCCTCCAGCCCCGCCAGCCCTGTGATCACGTGACCGCAGGGAGCCCCGGGGGTCGGAGCGGACCGCTCTGAAAGCAGGCGTTCCCAAAGCTGGTTCTTGTTTGAGTCACAGTGTTGTGCCAATTTCTCCTGTTTGCTCCCCAACACAGTCCTACAGGGGTTTTCGGCTTGGGGTCTTTTGGTTTGGGTTTGGTTTTTGGGTTTTGGTTGTTTTGTTTTCGCGGCTGAGAAAACCTTTGAAAGAATAAATGATACGGACAAGGCCACGTAGTAACTTGTTACGGACAAAATTTGATTCTTTCCACTGTACCTTTCTACATTTTCTGAGTGTCAAGCGTCAAGAGTCTCCCTCAGGGGCAACTCAGATTGTAAGATTTGCCGGTTTATGTAAATAGAAGGGAAAGTTGTTAGACTTGTATGGCTGTAGATAAGAGGTTGAAGAAAAAAAAAAGAAGGGCCGTCAGACATTGGAGATCCTGGAGAGCAGGTTCTCAAAGGCATGTGAGGAAAGTGAGAAGACAGGGCCATTAAAAATAAATAAATAAAAAGACTTGTATTGCAAGAATCAGAAACTGTCTTTTACTGGTTTTACCAAAATGAAAATACAACTATTGTAATGTAAGAACAGATACGTTTATATAAGGTAAGGGCAAGAAGTCAGCCAGCTCTCCAAAAGAAACTAGAAGGAGAAAATTGAAAGCCATCAGAAACTCCGGAAGTTCTTCTCCTCCCCCCTGTCTTCATGTTTTTGTGTGTCCTTTCTGTTCATCTCACACTCAAAACTCCCTTTCTCTACCATTTTGTCCATTAGGGTGGAGCATGACAAACCATAGCTCCCAAGGTTTTAGATCTTCTCACATGGAGACCAGCTGAAATAACCTGGGAGAGCACATTATGGACCCAATTTGAGTTAGATCTTCACCTTTGGCCCTATTGGGAAAAATTCTCATGGATATTAAATATGCATTCGAGGAAGGACTGATAGGAGTTCTACAGAAATCTCAAAGGATATCCACAAATGTAACGATAGATATCTATGAGTTTTGATTGGCTTAGCTATTGAACACCTCTCCTACATTTTTGTGGGTCCCTACCTGGTGAAGCCAACTTTCCAAAACAGAATATATGACACTTTATTTCTCAGCTTCCCTTGCAGCTGATATAGGCATGTGAATGGAGTCTGTCAGTTGGGTGCCCTTGTACCAGATTTTAATTAGGAAAGAAATAGCATAGAGTAAGAGACTAAAGCACAGCAAACAGAAGTCCAGTTTCCCAGACCCCATAAACTGCGGGGACATCGGTAATTTCTAGAGGGATTGATGGATCAGAGCAGCCACCCCAGACAATTTGCTACAGCCCAATTTAAGGATGGCAAATGAATAAAACTATTTGAGAAATAATTATTTGAATTTTTTCAAGATAACCATCTTGATGGTTTGATGAAAAACATCTCTCAGGGAACTACAAAACAGTGAAAAATTAGTAGCTCTAGAAGTAGATTATCCTCTTGATTTTAAGTGTGTTACCCAAGAAAATAATTATTATTAATTTGTCCTCATATTTTCCAACAAAAGATAAACACATTTATCCTTTCGTTTCTCTTCTGTATCTTTAGTGAAAAATGCCAAGACGTCATCTGCGGATAAGAAAGGAAACAAGATTGTTGGGGGTAAGAACTAAGTACTACTTGAGCAAGTAAATGACTACAGACTCATGAAAAGACTTTAACCATGTCTATTATGACCTTTCCAAATGGAGGAGAGTTAAGAGTTATGTAAATACCTGCACTTTCCACTTGCAGCCTGATTGGATAGGCTGTATATCACGCTAAAGTTAAATAAAGCAGAGATTATTAATCTATCAACTACATTTACATAACCCCAAACCATCACAACCTCATCATACTCCCAGAAAATATCCTCTGAGTTTGGAAATGGGTAGAAAATCCCTTTTGGGCATCAATAAATTATCTCATGCTAAACTAATGATAACATGGTCCCAAATGAGATGGCCAGATTGTGGAAACTATATTCAGAAGCTGCAGACATAAAGCTTTGTAGACACTGATCATAATGGCACTATGTTCTTGACTTCGTCCCCTAGTCATGACACTGTTTCCCCAATCAGCTCCCATCAGATGTAGCAGAGTATATCCCTTTGCCTTATCTACCCATATTGCTGGGTGATAGAGCCAGATTAGGAATCAAACCATCAGGTTTAAAGCTTCATCCAAGGATATTCCCAACAACTAAAGTCTGTTAGTGCCTTATCATTTATAAGTGATCTGAAATCACTTATTTCAGATTTACCCAATCCTCTGCTAGAATTGACCTAGAAGTTTACATTAAAGCAAGCAATGAATCCAAAATTTCCTCTCCTCATTCCCAATATTATGATACTAAAGATTTTGATTCCTAACCCTGGCCTTTTCCTGGCTTTTTTGTGATTTTTTTTGTTGGTTTTTGGTTTTTTGCTTTATGCAAAACTGAATGATCAAGAAAACTGTAACCAAAACACTTGGATCAGAGTGTATATATAGAATGTGTATATATATATATATATATATATATATAGAGAGAGAGAGAGAGAGAGAGTATATATATAGATATAGATATAGATATAGATATATCTAGATATATAGAGTATAAATGTACTCTATATATAGTGTATATCTAGAGAGAGTGTATATATAGAGTGTATACATATACACTCTATGTATATCTAGAGAGAGAGAGAGAGAGTGTGTGTGTGTGTGTATATCACCTCATCACCTGCCTACAACAAGGTCCCTCCCCTTCCTCAGGGTGGTATCAGGAGGCAGCTAAGTGGGAGGCTAAGGCCTTCATCCATCTCTCAGCTGGAATGAGCCACCTATCCCAACCCCCACCCCAGTGTCAGTAGAGGTCACATGGGGAGGAAATAATGTGGTGACTTTACCTCAGCCAGCCCTGGTGATATCCATAGAGGCTTAGTGGGGAACCCTAAGGTGCCCCTCTCCCCCACAGTGTCAGTGGAGTCTGAATAGGGTATCAAACTCCCACCTAGCAGCGGCCATAGGTGGCCATGCCCCCATATCCTTGCCAACACAGTACAAGAGAAGACTTGCTGAAGCAAAAGATTTAAGTGATATGTTTTATAAACTATACTAAAATGCATAAACATAAAATTTACCATCAAACCCATTTTTAAGTGTATTGGTTCAGGGACATCAAGTACATCCACACTGTTGGGCAACCATCACCACTGTCCCTCCACAGAACTCTTCCCATCTTGCAAAACTAAAACTCTATACCTGCTAAATAATAACTCCCCTATTCCCTCTCCCTCTCTGTAGCACTTAGCAGTAACAATTCTACTTTCGGTCTCTATGAATTTGACTGCTCTAGTACCTCAGATACGTGCAATCATGTAGCAATTGTTCTTTTGTGATGAGCTTATTTCAATTAGTTAATGTCTCCCAGGTTTATCCATGATGTAGTTTAAGTCAGAATTTCCTTCTTTTTCAAGGCTGAATAATACTCCCTTGTATGTATAACTACACTTTGTTTATCCATTCATCTGTCAATAGACACTTGGCTATTGTGAATAATGCTGCTATGAACATAGGTGTAAAATATCTCTTTGAGTCCCTGCTTTCAGTTCTTCATGTGTGTGTGTTTGTGTGTGTGTGTGTGTGTGTGTGTGTGTGTGTGTGTATGAAAATGCTGGGTCATATTGTCCTATGTTTAACCTTTAAGAACCTTTCCATAGTAGTAGTAGCATTTTACATCCCTACCTATAGTAGGGTCCAAGTCCTTCACATCCCCTTCAACGCTTGTATTCTTTTTTGATGATAGCCATTCTAATAGGTATAAAGTAGTACCTTTCTATGGTTTGTTTAGCATTTCCCTAATGATTGGTTAGGAGGTTGAGCATCTTTTCATGTTCTTATTGGCCATTTGCATATCTTCTTTAGAGAAATGTCAAGTCCTTTGTCCATTTCTTAATTGGATTGTATGTTTTTGCTGTTGTTGTTGAGTGATAGGAGTTCTTTATATTTTCTGGATATTTACTCCTTATCAGATACATAATTCACGAATTTCTCTACCATTTCGTGGGTTGCTTTTTCACTCTGCTGATTGTGTTCTTTGATGCACAGTTTTAAATTTTGATGTACTTTAATTCATCCATTTTTTTCCAAAAGTCATTACCAAATCCAATGTCATGAAGCTTGTCTCCTCTATATTTTCTACTAAGAGTTTGTTGTGTCATTCCAGCCTATTGATAGTGATTGGGGGTGGGGGGAGGTGTATGGTAGGAAACATGTTTCTGCTTGACTTAGACATTATACCAAGGTCTAGTTCATCATTCTGATATTGTACTATAAGTTATATGAGATGTAACCATTGGGAGAATCCATGTTCAGCATGCACAGGACCTCTCTGTACTATTTCTGAAAATTCCTGTGAATTTATAATTATTTAAAAATAAAAGTTTTTAAAGATCCTATATCCTTCACTAAACTCAGATTTCAGACAAAGTCATCATATTCTATGAAGCTCCACCACCTATCTACCCCAATGTCCCCTTGCTTACTTCCCCAGACACAACCTGTCAGAAATGCCACTAAATACAGAGTTATATGTTGCCTGGAAGGCAGAGTACTCTCTAAATGAGAGAAATATCCCCACCAACCAGCCACATCTTCATTCGCCTCATAATCACATGCCAGAACAGAAGTTTATTGCAAACTTCAAGTTAAAGTTATCCTGTATGAGGGAATCTGTGAGAAAAAAGTTGTCAGTGTCCCCAGGCCTCATAGAAATATGAGTAAGGCAAGAGATGCTAGTTTCTGAACTCCAGTATAACTGCTACAGGTTTTTTTCAGACTAACTCCTGTGTTTGGGTGGTAGGGATATAGGCAGATGTAGTTTATTCAGCTGTGCCAGCAGGAGGCACACCTGAGAAACATCTATCTGAAAACCAACTGAAAGTTCTTACAGTGAGTTGTGACTTTATGTAGTAAGCTTTTAATTTTCCTCCTCCTTTGACTCAGAAACTATCACAGCTGATCTGGCTTCAGTGGGCAGAGATCCTCCTCAAATTCCACACCTGATAATGGTTCCTAGGAAGAGTTATAGGAAACCAGGAATCCCAAGGGTTCACTATCTTTCTTTGACTCTTCTTTATAAAGCACAGCAAACTCTGCTATAAACCATAGTTACAAATGACTTCAGGGCGGGTAGAACAGAAGGAATCAAATTTTGGGAAGATGAGAGAAGGGCAGATAAGGTCAGAAATACCAAGCCTGATACAAGAGCTGTGTCTGTAGATGTGGATTGTTGGCCGCATAGCCGCTGATGAATATTGAGGGAGATCAATTCTTCCAGGGCTCGAGGGCTCATGCCATATGACCACTTGAACCAAGTAGATAAGCCCCTAGTACAGTTTTATGGGGCATGTAAATAGTCGCTGCATCTTAAAACTGTTCTGAAATGATAAGAAAACCTCCTCATTTGAATTAAGTGTTGAGAATCTTCAAAAGTTGTCACCTGCCTTCTCCATCTTTACTTTTTCTTGATGTTTGCTCCTTTCAAAGGTTGGGCCTGAAAAGTAGTAAGTAATTAGTGGCATTCTTTTCTTCCAGGCCATAGAAATAATGACTGGTCTGAATATTCATGGCGTGGGACTGCTCTGGACATATTTGTTTCTCTCACAACCTTCTGCATTTGCAAAATCGTATCTTCCTCTCTCAGCAGTAACAGGGTACCCATATTGGTCATCTGCATGTGTAAGTGAATAATCTGCTCCCTGGTTGTTATTCGTTAATTTATTCATCATATTTAATAACTGTTTCTGAAGCAAGCAGTGTGTCAGAACAGAAAAAAATTCACAATCCCTATTTTCAATGAATGAATTCTTATATCTAGTTGAAAAGGAATATATCAGAATGAAAAAAACCTAGATTTTTACCAGTAACATTCTTTCATAATAAGAATATGTCTTTGTTAAAGGGACACTTTTTACATGCTCCTTGGATAAGGGGTACAATAGTAAGATGCACAGGGGGCATTTGGGGAAAATATAAAATGGTTGATGACCATTCCACTACCCATAGGTCATTTATTTTGCCAGTGGGACAAGTAAAATGAGAAAGCATAATTGCTAGGGAAATGTGGGACATATAGAATTTAAGTAGGGAAAGAAAAATGAAATCTTTTTGTTCTGTTGGTCCAAGAAGAATTTGGCAGAATTAAAGAGAAATCTCTAAAGAAAATTTTATCGTGTCTGAGAGTATGGTGGATGATGCAACATTGTCCCCACAAAATCCTGAGTAAAAATCTTAATAATAATACACTTTAAATTTAGTCATTCAGCCAGTACTTACTGATTACCCATTATGTGTCAGGTCCTGTTCTTGGTGCCTGGACTATAACAAACAAAACAGATCCCAGAGCTTTATTCTAGCAGGGATAGTGTGTTGGAAGATGATAAGGCTATAGAAGTAAAACAGAAAAAGTAGAGTAAGGGGGAGTGAAGGTTCTGGGAAAGTAACAAAAGCATACAAGTTATTTTTTTAAATTGGGATGTTAGAAGCAGTCCTCATTGAAAAAATTACTATTAGTAATCTATTGTTATGGAGAAGCCATGACAAAACTCAGTGGCACACAACCAAAAGTACAGTTGACCCTTGAATAATGTGGAGGTTAGGGACACTGACCCCCTGTGCATATTACTCAACATAGTACTGGAAGTCCTAGCCATAGCAATAAGACAAGAAAAAGAAATAAGGAGCATCCATATCGGGAAATAAGGAGTTAAACTGTCACATGATGATATGCAGATGATATGATAGTATACAAAGAAAATTGTAAAGACTCCACCAAAACCTACTGAAGTAATAAATGAATTCAGTACACTTACAGGATACATAGTTATTATCCAGAAATCAATAACATTTCTATATACTAATAACAAAGTAGCAATAAGAGAAATTAACAACACCATTTACAATTGCACCAAAAAAAAAAAAAAAAAATAAATATATATATATATATATATATATATATATATATATAAACAAAAAATACCTAGGAATAAACTCAGCCAAAGAGGTAAAAGACGTATACTCTGAAAACTATAAAGCATTGATGAAAGAAACTGAAGACAACACAAACAAATGGAGAGATATACTGTGCTCATGGATTGGAAGAATTAGTATTGTTAAAATGTCTATGTATTCAATGTAACCTAGAGATTTAATTCAATCCCTATAAAAAAAACCAACAGCAGTTTTTACAAAATTAGAAACAAGTAATACATTTTTATGAGACCACAAAAGACCAGCCAAAGTAATCCTGAGAAAGAAAAACAAAGCAGTAGGTATCACAATCCCAGATTTCAAGATATACTACAAAGCGGGGTGCCTAGTTGGCTCAATTGGTTAAGTGACTGCCTTCAGCTCAGGTCATGATCCTGGAGTCCCAGGATCGAGTCCCACATAAGGCTCCCTGCTTGGCAGGGAGTCTGCTTCTCCTGCTGACTTTTCTCCTCTTTCTCTCTCTCTCTTTCAAATAAATAAATAAAATCTTAAAAAAAAAAAAAAAAGATATACTACAAAGCTGTAGTAATCAAAACAGTCTGGTGGTGGGTATTATGGAGGGCATGTATTGCATGGAGCACAGGGTGTGGTACATAAACAATGAATTCTGGAACACTGAAAAGAAATTTAAAAAATAAATAGCAATTTTTAAAAAAAACAATATGATATTGGGACAAAAATAGACACACAGATCAATGGAACAGAATAGAGAGCCCAGAAATAAACCCATGGTTGTATGATCAATTAATTTGTGGCAAAGGAGGCAAGAATATACAATGAGGAAAAGACAGTCTCTTTAATAAATGGTGCTGGAAAAACTGGATAGCTACATGTAGAAGAATGAAACTGGACAGCTTTTTAAAAATAAAGTCAAAATGGATTAAAAACCTAAATGTGAGACCTGAAACCATAACAATCATAGAGGAGAGCACAGGCAGTAATTTCTCTGACATTGGCTATAGCAACATTTTTCTAGATATGAATTCTAAGGCAAGGGAAACAAAAACAAAAGTTATTCAGACTACATTAAGATAAGTTTTTCACAGCAAAGGAAACCATCAACAAAACTAAAAGACAACCTACTGAGTGGGAGAAGGTATTTGCAAATGATAGATCTGGTAGGGGTTAATATGCAAAATATATTTAAAAAATACATGGCTCAACAACAAAAAACAAGCAATTTGATTACAAAATGGGCAGAGGACCTGAATAAACATTTTCCCAAAGAAGACATACACATGGTGAATAGACACATGAAAAGATGCTCAACATTACTAATCATCAGAAAGACAAGCTTAATCACACAGGAACATTGCCAGCCCTGACTTGGCTCACATCTGCTAACATCTCAGCCAAAGCAAATAAAATGGCCAATTTATAATTTGGGGGACAAAGAAATATAGTCCAACCACCATGAGACCATGGCAAGGGTATGGAAATATGTTACTATCTGGAAGAAAGAATTGGGGCCAATAATTCAAAATACCACAATGATATTTGAACAAATATTTGAAAAAGTGAGTTTTTGCCAAATCTGGAGACCATTCTAGGACAGGAATCAGCCAGAACAAAGTCTTCAATGACCGATGTGCCTGCAACACTCCTTAAAAAAGTATGGCCAGGATTGCCAAAGTTGAGTGAGAAAGAACAAGAGTAGCAAAAATCATGTCAGAAAAATAATGGAGGCCAAATAACATAGACTCCAAGAGCCATTGTAAGGACTTTGGCTTTTTAGTGTATGTGAAATCAGACTTATTATAGTGTTTGAAGAGCAGAGTTAAATCATCTGGCTTAAGTTTTAAAAGGATCACTTTGGCTGCTGTGTTGAAAAGATAATGAAGGGGGGCGAGGAGACCTTTTAGACCTTTAGCTACTGAAGAAATCCAGACGAGACTCAAACAGGATTGGTAGTAGTGAGAGTGGTTAAAAATAACATAATTTTAAGAGTTAATTTAATATCCTTATGGATTGGTGTGGCATATAAGAGAAAGAAGTTAAGGGGAATGCTCAAGTGTGGGTTTAAGCTAACAGAAGGAGTGGATTGTCATCAAGTGATAAGGGAAAACTGTGGGTAGAGCTGATTTTTAGGGAAGATAATGAGTTTGTTTTGAACCTGTAGAGTTTGAGATATCTGTTTAATTCTCAACTGGAGATCCTGAGTAGCTTGTTAGATATAAACTCTAGAGTTCAGAAGAAAGAGCTAAGCTCCAGGTATGAGCCTGGGGGTCACTGGCAGGTAGATGTTTGAAACCCATCAAACTGGTTGAGATCATCCAGGAAGTGGGTTAAAATAGAGAAAATGACCCAGGGCTAGAGCTGCACTGTCTAGTACAGCAGCCACGGGTCACAGGTAGCTACTGAGCACTCAAAATGGGGCTAAACCACACTGAGAAGTGCTGTAATATAAAATATACACCAGAGTTCAAAAACTTAATATGCATAAAAAGAATGTAAAATATAGCATAATTTTGAATTGATTCTATGTTGAAATGATAGTATTTTAGATCTCTAGGATTATATAAAACAAATTATTAAAATAAATTTCACATATTTGTATTTACTTTTTTAAATTTTACTTTTATTTCTTCATATATTTATGTAAAATTAAACCTTTGAAACAATCACCTTATTGCTATTTCTTTACACTTTTGTAAATCTTTCTATTCTTTTATTAGTGAAGTATAATTGACATACAATGTTATATTAGTTTCATGTGTACAACATATTGATTTGACAATTCTATACATTACTCAGTGCTCACCATAATTGTAGTCACCATCTGTCACCATGCAACATCATTACAGTATTATTGGCTATATTCTCTATGCTTTTTATCTTTGTGGCTCATTTATTTTATAACTGGAAGTTAGTTCCTTTTAATCCCCTTCATCTGTTTTGCCCATCCCCCACCCAACTCCCCTCTGGCAACCACCAATTTGTTCTCTGTATTAACAGTCTGTTTGGTTTTTTGGGTTTTTTTCTTTTGTTTTTTAGATTGCACATATAAGTATAATTATATCTATTTTTCTTTCTCAGTATGACTTATTTCACTTAGCATAATACCCTCTATATCCACCCATGTTGTCATGAATGGCAAAATATACCATTTTTGTGGCTGAGTAATATTCCATTGTGTTTGTTTGATGTGTGTGTGTATGTATGCACACATGCATAAACACATCATTTCTTTATTCATGTATCAATGAATACTCGGGTTGCTTTCATATCTTGGCTATTGTAAATAATGCTGCAATAAACATAGGGGTGCCTGTATCTTTTTGAATTGGTGTTTTGTTTTCTGTGAGTAAATACCCAGGAATGGAATTACTGCATTCTATGGTTTTTATATTTTTTATTTTTTGAGAAAAACCTCATACTATTTTCCACAGTGGTTGTACCAATTTACATTCACACTAACAGTGCGCAAAGATTCCCTTTTCTCCATGTCCTTGCCAACTCTTGTTTATTTTGCTTTACTTTTCTTAGGGTGTACTGGAAAACTTAAAATTCCATATTTTCCTTGCATCATATTTCTATTGGACAGCCCTGAACAATAGTATTCTGACTGAAGATAGTGCCATGGTTAGATTGTTTTACTGTCGTCATTCTATGAGTAGTAAGAGATTAGATCTGAGAAAGCTAGGAGGCCACCATAGCTCAGATAACAAAAATGAGCGCCTTAATTCAATTTTAAAAGTACTAAATGCACAGGTTCTAAGTGAAGAACAGTAATCAATTGTATTAATATCTCAAATAATACTACAATCATGAGGACATTAGATCACTAATACTTGCATGAAGTTATTAAAACATTGACTCAAAATTTCAATGAAAGAAAAAATTTTAAGTTTTGTCACTCATTGTAAGATATTCCAAAAGGAAGTTGCTGACAATGAATTAGATTTGGTACATTAGCATCTATATTAATTCTCTGAATTATCTAAGGCTGTTAGAATTTTTGTGAGTTAGGTGTTATTGTTTGTTATCCTGTTTTTAAATGTTTAACATATAAATAAAACATACACAAAAATCTAAAATCTTAATTGTACATCTCAGCTACCACAAAATTGTTATATCAATGTATCAACACCCAGGTCAAAAAAATTTTTTTAGAAAAAATTCTAGGATCTCAGAAGTCCCTCTCGTGTCCCTTCTTTCTCCCTCCTACCCTAATCATTAACCTGATTTTAGATATTATATATTACTTTTAAGTGTTTTTAAACTTTATATAAGTAGAATCATATAGTATGTATTATTTGTATCTGGCTTCTTTGCTCAGTTGGGATTGCGAGTCCCATCCTTGTTATTGATACAGTGGTTATTCATTCATTATTATTGCTGATTAACATTCCATTATATTAATCTACTATGTTTAAATAATCTAATGGCTGGACATTTAGGTTGCTTCCAGTTTGGAGCATTATAATAGTTCCAGGGGCCACATAAGGAAAGGAAATCTGAAAAATACAGTTCTGAGCCTCAGGTGCAAGCAGTAGGACCAAGCTGGCTATAAATAACTCCGTGAATTCTTCTATATGTAACTATTACAACAATGACACAGTAAGACAGAAAGGTAGAAAAATACAAATCCCCATTTTACCAATGAAAAAAGCAAAACTAATGAAAGGGTAGGTAATTCCTACTGAGTCACATAGAAAACAAAGTGCAAAGAATCCGAATTCAGATCCTCCAGACACTAAAAGGCTACTTAGTATTGACATGTTAGTGGCCCCATTTTTTGTGGGGCAAGAACATTCCTTCCCTTTACTACTAACTGAATAGTTAAATTTTTAGATCTGTGGGAAGTTTCCATGCATGCATAAGGCTTCATCAATGAAAAAAATAAATTTCTAATATACCCTGTCATGTTTCTAACAAGTCTTAGAAATGATGGAAATTTTCAGAACAAGCTACTCACGGAAGACATTATGTGATCTTACATTTAAATATGTAAAATGAAACTTAAATATTTTCTGAATTATATTTTCCATTGCTAAAATATTTTTCACATTATGTGAAAATAGCAAAATATAATATTGTCTATTAGTAAATCCGTTAACTGGATATATTTTCTTGTAATTCACCTTATAGGATCAATAAATTATTACTGACAAAAATCTAAGTAAAATTTGACACTCTTTTTACCCTATGAAGTCAACTTGAGGTGCCCATAGTTCCATTTCCAATGCACGTGTTACATTACTGAACAGAGACTTTATGCCTTCTCCATCTCTGTACTACAGAACCTTCGAATTATCTTCTGAATGATTGTCTCAATGGTCCCACTAAAGAATTAAGATGATATCCTTCATGTTATAGCATTCCATAATTCTCTTATTGTTTATATATAAACATGGCTGGGTATTAATAAACATGATTTTTGTTTCCAGTTTATCTTCTCAGGAGCCCTTGCAGTAATAGTAGAGAGGAGGCGTTCTATATTCTTGGTAAGTCAGAATGTTTGTAACAACTCTAGAGATAACAGTTTTATTTGCCAAAAGAAGGAGGGTCAGTACGGAGTTAGCATTATCTCTGAGTCCCTTGAGAAAGAACAAAGCTGGAGGCATCACACCTCCTGATATCAGATATACTACAAAACTGTAGTAATCAAAATTGAATGGTACTGGCATAAAGTAAACACAGACCCATGGAACAGAATCAAGAGCCTGGAATTAAATCACTGCACTTACAGTCAGCCAATATTCGATAAGGGACTCAAGAATATTCAACTGAGGAAGAATAGTGTTTCCAGCAAATGGTGCTGGAAAAACCAGATACACAACATGCAGAACAATAAAATTGGATCCCCATCTTACACCACTGTTATTTTAAGAACATACTTTAAATAAAGACAGGTCTAAGAAGAAGCTGGAAAAGATATATTTCTTGTGAACTCTAACTAAAAGAAGACTATATTAATATAATACAGAGTAGGCTTTAAAGCAAAAATTATCAAAGATTTTTATTAGAAAGAGACACTGCATAATAATAAAAGATTTAGTCCAACATAATGTATAAATATCCTAAATATCTGTTCACCTATTAATGTAGCTTCAAAATAAGACAATAAAATTGACAAAATTAAAAAGAAAAAGAAATCTACAATCATATTTGGAAACATTATGCAAATTTCTACCAGAGAATAGAAAAAAGAAGGTAATACCTCCCAACCCATTATGAGGATAGAATATCACTGATCCTAAAACTCTACCAGGATCTTACAAGAAAAGAAAATTACAGACCAAAATCTCTAGTGACCATAGATGAAAAAATACTAAAACATATATATATATGTGCAAATAAAATATAGAGTATTGTGAAAAATACAAATAGAGTATTGTGAAAAATACAAAAAGAACAATACATCATGTCTAATTCCAGAAATGCAAATTTAGATTAACATTAATGTGGGGGCACCTGGGTGGCTCGTTCAGTTAAGCATCTGACTCTTGATTTTGGCTCAGGTTGTGATCTCATGGTTGTGAGATCCAGTCCTGTGCTGGGCTCCACACCTGGCTAGGTGTGGAGACTAAGATTCTCTCTCTCCCCATGCCTTTGTACCCCTCTATCCCTCTCGAAAGGAAGAAAGAAAGAAAGAAAGAAAGAAAGAAAGAAAGAACGAACAAACCATTTGTCTCATCTTAACAGTGATTTTTTTGGATTTGACATCAAAGCCAAAGGCATAAAAAGTGAAAATAAACAAATGGGACTATACCAAATTAAGAAGCTTCTTCAGAGCAAAGAAAACCATCAACAAAGTGAAAAGCCAACCTGCATAATGGGAGAAATGGTTACAAATCATATTGCAGATAAGGGGTTAACATCCAAAATATATAAAGATCAAATATAACTCAATAGCAAAACAAACAAACAAGCAAACAAACCAGTTTAAAAATGGGCAGAGGATTGAAATAGACTTTTTAAAAAGTTTTTATTTAAATCCCAGTTAATTAACATACAGTATAATATTAGCTTCAGGTGTACAATATAATGATTCAAAACTTCCATACAACATCAGGTGCTCACCACAAGTGTACTCATTAATTCCTGTCCCCAATTTAACCCATCTCTCACCCACATACCCTCTGGTAACCATCAGTTTGTTCTCTAGAGTTAAGAGTCTTTTTCTTGGGGGTGCCTGGCTGGCTCTGTGGGTTAAGCCTCTGCCTTTGGCTCAGGTTATGATCTCAGGGTCCTGGGATTGAGCCCCACATCGGGTTCTCTGCTCAGCAGGGAGCCTGCTTCCCCCTCTCTGTCTGCCTTCTGTTCTGCCTACTTGTGATCTCTCTGTCAAATAAAAAAATAAAGTGTTAAAAAAAATTTTTCTTTAAAAAAAAAAGAGTCTTTTTCTTGGTTTGCCTCCTCTTTTTTTCCCCCTTTGTTCATTTGTTTCTTAAATTCCACATATGAGTGAAATCATATGGAATTTGTCTTTCTCTGACTGACTTATTTCATTTAGCATAATACCCTCCAGCTCCACCCATGTTGTTGCAAATGGCAAGATTTTATTCCTTTTCATGTCATTATTTAAAAAATGTCACATCTTCTTATCCATTCTTCAGTCAATGGACACTTGGGCTGTTTCTATAATTTGGCTATTGTTGATAAAGCTGCTATAAACATCAGGGTACATGTAGCCCTTTGAATTAGTGTTTTTGTATTTGTTGAGTAAATACCTAATAAATACCTAATAATGCAATTTCTGGATCATAAGGTAGTTCCATTTTTAGTTTTTTGAAGAACCTCCATACTGTTTTCCGAAGTGGCTGCACCGGTTTGCATTCCCACCAAGAGAGCAAGAGGATTCTCCTTTCTCCACACCCTCACCAGCACCTGTTGTTTTCAGAGGAAACATACAGAAGGCCCAGAGGTAAATGAAAAGAGGCTCAGCATCTCTAAACACCAAGGAAATGTCTATCAAAACCATAATGAGCCATCACCTCACACCTGTCAGAATGGCTAAAATCAAAATAGCAAGAAATAACAAGTGTTGGTGAGAAAGTGGAGAAAAGAAAACTCTCATGTACTGTTGGTAAGAATGATTGGTAAAGTCACCATGGAAAATGATATGAAAGAGCCTCAAAAAATTAAAATGGAACTACCATGCAATCCAGCAATTCCATTTCCAGGTATTTATCTGAAGAAAACAAAAATACTAACTTGAAAAGATATATGCATCCCTATGTTCACTGCAGCATTATTTACAATAGCCAAGATATGAAAATAACCTACATGCCCATTGGCAGATGAATGGTTAAACAAAATGTGATGTATATATCACAGACCCACACACACCCCACACACATATATATGTCATATATATATATATATATATATATATACACACACACACACACACTCAATGGAATATAATTCACTCATGAAAAGGTATGAATTTTTGCCATTTGCAACAACATGGGTGGACCTCCAGGGCATCATCATACTAAGTGAAATAAGTCAAATGGAGAAAGACAAATACTGTATACTCTTGATCTAGAAAAATCTCTCTCTCTCTCTCTCTCTCTCTCTATATATATATATATATATATACATGCACATGTGTGCTCACAGATACACACACACACACACATAAAAACTATAAAAAATCCAGGATTTCTAAAAATCTAAAATCCAAAACACACACACACACACACACACCAATAAGCAAACATTATACACCCAGGAAACAGATTGGTAATTGCCAGAAGTGGAGGTTGAGGGTGTGTAAAATGGGTGAAGGGAGTTCAAAAGGTGCATACTTCCAATTGTAAAACAAGTCATAGGGACACGCAATAGGACAATTACATTGTTACTAATACTTTATTGCACATTTGAAAGTTGTTAAGAGAGTAAAACTTAAAAGTTCTCATCACTATAATAAAATTTCTTAAACATTTAAAATTTTATTTTCTGTGTATACACAGCACATTAATTACTTATATAAGCAATCACTGGCTGTCCAAAAACTGAGGGAAGCTTCATTCTAAATATAGCAACAACTGTTTATTCATTGGTGATGAATTGACACCCTTTATCAAAACTTGGAATCCAGCACTTGTACAAAAATCACCATGCTGGCCTATAAAATTTTAAAGTAATATATATGATAAAATTTTTTGTAACTATGTATGATGATGGATGTTAACTATACTTATTGTGGTGTTCATTTTGTAATATATACAAATATTGAGTGATTATATTGTATATCTGAAAGCAATATAATGATGTATGCTAATTATATACCTCAATTTAAAAGCTGGTATCATATTTTCTATATTATAACATGTATGAGTAAAATATTTTACAAAATAACACTAAGGCAAGAATTAAAGTACCATAAATTTGTTACATTCTATATGAAGTAGGATAATATTGAGTAAAATGTGAAAAATTAAGGATACATACAGTAGAACCTAAACTATTCAATAATACAAAAATATGCAGATAAAAAAGCCCACAGAGGAAATAAAAGTTTAAAAACTATTTTAACCCAAATGCAGACAGAAAAATGAAGAACAAAAAAAAAAAAAATAGGACAATAATCGTATCACATGTAAATAGACAAACACTCCTATTAAAAGTCCAGATTGGATAAAAAATAATGTCCAACTATTCAGTCTGTAAGAAGCTTGTTTTTAATATAAGGACAAATATAGATTGCAAGTAATAATGGGAAAAAATACACGAAAGAATGTATATACATGAGCATAAGGAAGCCCATGTAGTCACAATAATCAAAGACCAATAAATGTCAAGACATAACATGTAACTAGAAATAGAGGCATTTTGGTATAATAAATGTTAATTATCAGTAATACATAACTCCCAAAAATGTATATGTATCTAATATTAGAAATTTAAGATAAATGGTGCAAAAACTAAGGAAATAAAAGAGGAAATAGAAAAATCCACAATCATAATAGATTTTGACATGTCTCTCTAAGTAATTGATAAAACAAGGGGGCAAAAACCAGGAGTAGAAAATTGAAATATTTGACCTCATTTACCTTTGTTTACAAAACAAAACAAAACTTTGTTTACACACTACACAAAAGGACTGTAGAACACATGCTCTTTTAAACTGTAAGTAGTATATTCATCAAGATATGGCATACACTGAACTAGAAAAAAAGCAACAACAAATTTCACAAGATTGAATGAAATATTGTAGAATAAGTTTACTATTCTTACTACAGGCAACCTGTTGAATGGAAATAGAAATGACTTAAGAGGAAATAGAATTAAATTAAAAATCAATTATTAAATGTTCAAAAAGAATCCAAATATTTGGAAATTACACAACACATTTAATCACAAAATTTAGAAAATATTTTGAACTGAATGATGGAAACACTACATATCAATATTTTTGAGATAAAGCAATGCTTGAAGGAAATTTACAGCTTTGAAAGTCTTGGGTGCCTTGGTGGCACAGTTGGTTGAGAGTCCAATTCTTGGCTTTGGCTC